ATATATATATATATATATATATATATAGATAGATAATTTGGGCATTTTAATATTTTTTGCCAAATGAGAGCACTGAACTCACCCACATAAAAGAAAAAATAATTCTTTTATCCAATGGCTGTGGAAATCGACAGAAGAAGAAAATTTTTAAGATTTAATTCAATTGAGTTGAATGAGAGTTTTAATTGGGCCACCTAATAAATATTTGAATTATTAAAATATAATTTAAATACTAAAAAAATAATTTATTGATATCATTTAATGGATTCAACATATAACATTTTAATTTAAGACTTAATTTTGAATATTTTGAACTATATTGTAAATTAAAAATTTAAGACATTCACTTTAGTTTTAATTTAAACATAGGATTCTTGACTATCCAATCGAGATTAAAAGAATTAAATTGGATGATATTTGACCCCGTCGGTTCTTTAGAAGTCGAACCGGCTCAGTGATTTATCAGTCTAACTTCGGCTCTAATTAGTTGAATCTCGATTCTATATAGAAATGATTTTAAGTTTAGAACAAATTAACTAAATGAGAATCACATGATTCTGTAGATCAAACCGATTGATCGGTCCAATTTTTAAAAACATATAATAAGTCTAGTTTCCCTTTCCCTATTGCTGGCATGTCATAAAAAAGCTCAGTGTCGCCCATCAGATGGTGTTTTCCCTGGCACAATAATATCCACTAAAAAGCACTCACAAATTATAAGTCTTATCACAAAATCTCCCTCACACTTTCTCACAATCGCCTTCACACTCCCACTAAGCTTTTGACACTAATGACACCCAACGCTGCATTACAGTTTATTTTATCAAATTTAAGTCATCCTCTAAGCCATATTGTTGAACTCATTTTTTGTCACCATTTTCTTCACTATTTCCTCCATCTAGGCCTAGGTTCTTCCTTGAAGTCCTGAGGTGGTAAATCTTGGCCCATCGTAGGACTTGGGTTATCACGGATGGATTCATGAGCACACGACATGTTCGATAATATTTCGACACCTTTTTGATGTGGATTCATGCACTTCAAGATTCCAAACATCAAATTATCATTCACGTAAAAAGTTTCTACCGGAACATCATTTCGTCAAACGAATTGTGCGAGTCCATCCGAATGGTCGAAACAGTTCAGATGAACTCATCTGTGCTTAAATTGAACTACGTTCGGGGTCGTGCCGAGACCACGTGAATGGAAAGAATAATAATAATGTTTATACTAAAATAACTAAGGTATCAATAATAAACGGAAATGAATTTAAACTCCCATAACTTACATTGAGATATAAATCAAAACACAAATTTAAATAGTTAATAAAGTTAATAGAGCAAGTAAAATTGTAACAGTAGAAATAAAAATATAAATTATGGCTGCGCAGAGAAAATCAAACAAAGCATAAAATCTGAATTGAACTACACTTAAAAAGAAACCACAACTAAATGAAACGTTTCCATATATGCCACCTTTGCCACACATGTGGATTGGGTGGTGTGTATGAAAACGCCTAAGCAAAATCAATTGAAACTTAAATTTTGAACCTATACTCAAACCTTAGTCGAATCTAACTTTAATCAAATTATCTTTTATAAAAAAATTCATACAAGGAAGAAATTATAAACTAAACAATGCATAAATTTTAACCATCCAAGTCTATCCAAGGCAACCCAAGCTAAGTCCAAGCCAAATCAACCATTTAGATTCTTCCTTTAGGCAATTAGTAACTCCCCATTGGATGATCAAGTCTTCACAAGGCTGGCTGCTTCCTCCATTTTGTCAACTTAGCTCTTATTTGGTCCCATGAGCCAATTTCCCAAACTGGCTTAACAAGCCCCCTTGCCTAGCTTCATAGGCTCTCCCCTAAGAGATCATCAACTCTTGAGCTTCCTCCCTCTTCCATGGTCCTCCCCAGCTCCTTCTGAACCCAGCCGGAAAAAATAAGTGGAGCTTGGACCAAAAGCAAATCACAAATCTACCTCCCTTTGGCCACGATCGACACATGCTTACTGTTGCTCTAAACTTCCCATGCTTTGAGGGGCAATGGAAAATGACCCTACAATCATCTGATTAGCCTCATCCAGAGGGCTCAGTTTGTATTTTCGGCCTCCCACCATGGTGGCCGAAAATTCAAGTAATAGAAAATCCAAAACAGTGAGGAGAGTGAAGGATGCCGTTTTCTTCCGGCTAAGAGCTTCCTTGAGCCTAAAGAAACACGTTACTTGCATTTCCACCTATTCCATTCTTCCGGAGATGTCAGAAAAACAACTCAGGCGAAGATTCCGGCGAGCTTGGGCATGACCTTTAGAGTGCCATTTACATAGGTTAAGGACCGTCGTTCACGGGCTAGAATCCTGCTCTCCTCCCCTTGGACCACCCCGATCACCTCTGGCCGTGTTCCAGCTACCGGAGTGGCTGGGTTGCTGTGAGGGAGAAACTCTTTTTATGGTTTTGAAGGAAGAAGATAAAATCATATCCCTCCATTTCCTCTAATGTAAATGGACGGCTATAATAAAAGGTGATATACATAATTAAAACAGTGGCCCATGCTTAATCGCATCTCCAATCAACTAATGACATGTGTCGGTTTTGCTGACGTGGTGAAAAGAAAGCATAAAAAACAATGTTAAACTTCAAAGATCATAAAAAAAATGAAAAAATCAGAAAAATAGAAATAAATAAAGTAAAGGTTCGGCTCGATGAGTACTATCTTAAAAATTGAAGTGTTAATTTATATAATATAATTTAGGCTTAATTTGGTAAATATCGAAAATAATAAAACTCAAATTAATATTTAATTTGGCTTAGTTTTTAACTAAAATTTTTATTGAAAGATTCTTAGGTTGTAAGAGACTTTCAGGATTTTTTATAGATTATTTTGAGGTCAATTTGGGGCGTTTTTCTTAAATTTCTCATAAAATCTTAGTTAAGGCAATTTATTAATTATTGTAATCACTTGAGGCATAATAAAAAAAATATAGGGTATTTTTTACCACAAAAAAAAAACTCTTTTAAATTACCTATGCTTCCAAAATCCATAGGAATTAGTTTGTTTGATCAAACATATTGAAAATTTTGACCAAATGCTAAATAAATAGAGGAAAATATACAATTCGTTGATGTCGTATTTGACCCTAAGTGAGAAATTTCAAAATTCCTCTGTGTGGTCTTGTCTCTCACATCCACTCCACGTGCTGACATTTTTTCTGTAGACTCCACTGGGGATGGTTCCTCTCTCCATCTTTAGCAGATGACTAAACTTTTTGTTTATCGATAGTGTGCTTATACCTCATATATGTCAAGCTACCATTCGTCCGTTGAGTTAGTCTTGATAAAGGGGTCTGTATCAGAATGTCGTTTGGTTTGTCCCCTTTTGTTGTTGGGTTAATCCTGATATGTTTGGGACATCTCCGATCTAGATTTTTATGGCCAATTTCATCTTGTGTGTCCTCATTAAGGGTGTTAAATGTCAATTTCATCTTGTGTTAAATCATTCTCAATTGTCTTTGGGGCTTTGGTGCTTTATTGACATTTACTTTTTCGACATTCATTCTCATAGGGAAATCCTTTACCAAATTATTTTTTGGTAAGAGTGTCCCTGTACTAGAGGTCTCTTAGTCCCTTTTCTTTTTAAGTTTGGGTTGTGTGCTAATGATCTTATTTTGTCCAACTAAAGTTTCACTTGACTTCCGAGAGTACACCGAAATCTCAAGTTTTGATTCTTGATAATATCAAACGTAATTTTCTCAAAATTGATTAAGATGTCACGTAAGCTGATTTTCTTGTTTATGTCCACCTAATGCCGGACCATGGACCAGGCTGACCTTGATGTAATGAGTGTGATCCATTTCATTTTGGGCTTTGATGACATTGAGATGACCTTTAGTGGGCTGGTTATAACCTCTGTGGACTCTCAGGCGATAGCTAGTCATTGCGCTCTTTTGAAGTTTTCCTTATGATTTAAGAATGAATTTTCACCGTGAAAGAGAAAGGTGAGGGAGACAATAGTTTTGTTGATTGCCTCCCCTAATTTAGCCCCTATAGCTAGAGTCTCCATTGTCACTAAGTTGGGTCCACCTAAGGATAAAAAGCTAAAGAGTGTGGTCATTTTTCCCAAGCCTGAAACTTGACCAACATTTGGGTTTCAGGTAGGGTCTTCTTGTCATGCAGTTCCTCTAACTGAAACTCAGAGGAGGAATAGAAAAAAAAAAAAAAACTAAAGAGGAAGCATCATTGTCACAGGATGGAAGCCGAGAAGATGGAGATCGAGGATGCATGACATTTTGACAATGAAATTGAACTATTTATTTTGCCACTTCTAGTCCCTTTTAATGGCCGTGGTAGAGGAGGATGCCCGAGTGGTTGCTCGGTTGCCCCCTTGTCCGTTAGTGCTAGCTCCTCAATCCAACCTAAGGAATAAAGAGCATTATTCTTAACTTCCTTTTTTTTTTCAATGAATGGTTAATAGAGAGGGAGCCACTCGTGTCGATATCCTTCACATTATAAAATGTATCGTCATTAACTCCTTTGCTAGGGTGATTGATACACCTAAAATATATAGTATTTTAGACACTTTTTT